ATGGGCATAGTGACACACATTTTTAATCCCAGAACTTAAGAGGCAGGTGAATCTCTATGAATTTGAGGCCAGCTAGGTTTACATAGTAAGTTCCAGGCCAACCAGGGATATATATATATATAATTTGAGGCTCTATCTCAAAACAAACAAAACCAAAAAAACAAACAAACAAACAAAAAAACACCCTACTACATGGAATTGCTCTTAGATACTTTAGGCTAGCATTATTCTGTACAAAGATAATATAAGCCACAAATAAAATTTACATTTTCCAGGAGCTATGCTTAAAAGACAAAAGGTAAAATTACAAGTTTCTGCTTACCCAATAGATATAAAACATTAACATTTCAAAAAGAATAAATAACAAAACAGCTATTAATGAGATAGTTCATATTATTTTTATTCATATTACATCTTTAAATGTAATGTACATTTAAACTAGTCACATTTCAAGTGGTCACTGGCTTGTACATACCACATTCGTAGTACTGTTTTAGCAAGTTCACATTGAAAACAGTATTTCAGTGGTAAGACCCTGTTGCTGAAAACACAACATACTTTGTTTGCAGGACACAGAGCAATCAAGCTGTGATGGACCTGGAAATTTTTCCTGCTGTTTAGCTTTTATAGTGACAAAAAGCACTCTGTAAGCTGCTGGGGGAGAAAAGTCATTGGTGGACTTACCTAGTGGTGGGCCCTCTATGCTACAGTACCAACCTGCTGGATAAAATGTGTCTATAGGTGCAATAGTGGCATGATTGTAACAGGGATAAAGGGATAACCAAGTACATTCTGGTTAGACTCGAGGCCTGCTCCAGAGGAGGGAATTTATACCTTGTTCTATAAAGCTGGTCAAAATTCCATAGCTGGAGAGGTTATAAGCCCTGGGGAGGCAACCAGCTCCTGTTGTTTTACTAAATAGGCATGTTGTCAAACTGCCTTCTAAATATTTATATTTATACTCATAGATTAGTGCTGCTTTTGGCCTTGGTCAGAGAAGCTTCTTTTTGCAGTTGATAGCAGTCAATATGAAGATTGATAACTGCTCAAAATGCTGAGGATAAATGACTGTTAGTGCTCATCCCTAAACAGGACATCTGTATCAACCTCCCCAAGGCTCAAGGGAACATCATGGAAGAGCGAGGCAGAAAGAATGTTAGAGCCAGAGGGTGGGGAGGAGCACTGTGAGATGCTGTCTTCTGGACGTGATATAGGTGTTGCACTAATAAACTCACAGCAGCTGTGGTTACCTGCACAAGACTTGCATAAGATCAAGCTAGTCAGTAATTCCAGTATGGATGACAGAAGGGCTCATGCGGCTCCACTCCTAGCTGAGGAGCTGTTGGCAACTGATTGTCTGCTGGGGTAGGGGAGTCATTTTCTTTGGGGGTGTGGCTGCTGGTAGGCTGCCCATGCTTATGTAGACTTCACTAATTGGGTTCAGTGGGTTATTAAAACAAAAAAAGAGGACATGGAGGTGAAAAGGGCACGTGTTGGAGGGTCCTGAGAGAGTAAGAGGGAGGAGTTGGGAAGTGGGGGGGAGGTGGGGGGAAGGATAGGATACAGATACATTGTATCTGTATGAAATTGACAATTTTTAAAAATTGGTATCTTAGGGCTGAGGGTATAACTCAGTGATGGATCCCTGCCTAGCTATGTACACAGCCCTGGATTGGCCCCCAGCACTGCAAAAAAAAAAAAAAAGAAAAGAATATGTTAGCTCATATTTAGAATCAAACAAATTTTGGCAAATATATTGTTAATCACTTCACAACTTCAGCTATTAGACGCCAAACATTTGTGCCACACATTTGCATACATAGCCATGAGGGAGGATGTCTCAGGTTTGGTTTTGATTCTGTCTCAAAAGAATAACAGGTTGCCATTAAGAGTTCCTGATATTCCTCCACAGTGGCCTCTGCATTTCAGAGTGAGGTCAGTGTGGAGTTTCCTGGGCGTCTTTTCTTCAGGAAATGGGAAGGGACACTGAACGTGCTTCAAGTGCTGCGTGCCTGTCTCTGGCTTTTGGCTCTTCTCTGTTTAATTATTTGGAGCTGGAACAACTTGATTTTAAAACAAAACATATGGGCTGAGAGCAACTGGGAAGACATTTGCTGATGATGTAGCACCAAAGGTATGCATCAAGTTGAGGCCCAGACCCTGCACCATTTGCTTGCTTAGATATTGAACTTTTTTTTTTTTTTAAACTTCAAATTACATTCTTTTTCCAATCTTAAACCCTCATTTGGAAAGGCAATAGTCAAAGCAGGAAGTACTGAAGCACGATTATAAAGGAAATTGTCTGTGAGTCTCTTATTTAATTTTTTTTCTTTCTTTTCTGTGGAAAACCATTCGTTTCCAGGTTTTTATTTATGATTCTTGAAATAAGGTTTTTTTTGTTCCCCAAAGTGCCAAGAGGAGAAAATCTGCATCTCACTCCCAAATGAATTTCCCAGTTCTCTCCACAGCCAACACCAGCGTGGAGAATTTCCCTCTGGCAGCCAGTCCTTTTGTGAAGGGAACTTTTTGTCTCTTTTACTTCTTGTTCTTTGTTTTGAGACATTGTCTTAGGGAACGTAGGCTGTTCTAGAACTCCTGGTCCTCCTGCCTCCAATTTGCAAGAGCTGAGATTGTAGATAGGTGCCCACCCCACTTTCTCCAGCTCTTCCTTTGCTTGCTGGGGTTGAGATATATGATAAGTCCTGATGATATCTCATGAAATTTCAACTTGACTGTGTCTCCATTCTGTGCCAGGTGGGAAGGGGAATTCATTAGGACTGGTGAGAACACCAGCCTTCGTAATCAGATCTCTGTCCCTCAGCTTTAGGAGTTACATGCCTCTAAAGGAATGATCCAAACATGTTTTCCTTTTTCCTAAAAGGGCAATTATGGTGACTATTTCAAAGTCAAATTCTTGTGAGACTTAAAAGAGACACTGCCTCCAAAACAGTAAGCATAGAGCCTGGCATATAATGAACGTGAAGAAGCCTGGGTGGCCGGCCGGGGCCCTCAGCAGGCCTGTGTGCGCCCTCCTCAGCAGCAAGGCAGGCAGGCAGTGGACCATGATGTCCTCTGTTCCTGTCCCACTCATTGTTAGTGGTGACATCATAGCTAAGTACTGCATCAAGGGAAACGACAGTTGTCCACAGAGCGCTTTAGCATTAGAAAGTCAGACATTTCCCTGGGGTGCATTTGATGTCTGCTGTGTGAAGCAAAGCCTGAACTCTGCCCTCCAGAGCTTCCTGTCTGATGGGGTCCTGTGTAGTCACCTGTCAGCTGTGACTCTGTTTTGTCTATCACCTATAAATATGACTGTGGCGTGCTGAGTTGTTTTGTTCTTGGACTTTTTTGTTGTTTTAGATTAGAAACATTAGAAGAAATAGCACTTGGGCCAGGGTAGTAGAGGGGTTGACCATAGTTTGTCTATAGGTCAATGAAATCAAGAAATCCTTCTCAACACTTTCCAAGCAACTCTCCATCTCCAAAGAAGGGTAAGGGTAGAAAAAATGGAGGCCTCATTTTTTTTTTTTTTTTTTTTATATGCCAAACCAAAGACATGCTGAAGTTTTTCTGTGGAGGGCCTCAGGCTATATCACACACAGTCTTATTTAATGTCACTTAATTTCTGGAGTTCCAGGAAGTTCTACTTTTAAAAATACCACCATGTTTCAGAGTAGTTCATTATTTCTTTACTCTCTCTCCCTTTCTCTTCCTGTTTGCCCAGCCCATTTTGGATTTATTAGCTCTTTCCTCCAAAGTGTCAGTAACTCCCTGCTGTGAATGGTGGACAGGTCTCAGACTTTCCCCCGACTCCTGTATTCTCTGCACACTCTCTCAGTGGAGAGCTTTCTTGACATTTAACTTAATCAAGATGTTAGTAAAATAAACAGTGTGCATGTGCTGCCTTCAGACTGAAATTGCTTGTCACTCCCCCTCCCACCTCACTTCAGTGTTTGGGAAGGCAATTCAGAGTCACTGTTGAGAGTAAAGATGAGGAGCAAGGTGGGCCAGACACACACAGTTCCCATCCCTGGCTTCTTAGTGGGTGGATAGTCCTGTACCATGTCACCCAACCTATAGTGTCCCAATTATAAGATACACTGTTATTTTAAGAAGGGGGAATATCAAGACTATCAAGAAGGGGGAACAAACCGGGATAAACCAGTTTTAAACCACATTTCAATTTCAGGGATGTTAAAATGTAAGGGAAAAATGTGTATCTTAGGGCAAATGGGTATAGTGAGAACTAATTAAAGTGGAAAGGCTTTCCCGTCATTCACAACTGTTTACACCATCACACCCTCATTCTTAGCATGGCTAACTGACAGAGCTGCGAGGTAGTGGGTACTTAAGAGATGCACATGTGTTAGCTAAAAGCTGCATGTTATGTGTGTGCAAGAAATTATGCTTGGCATTACAGGACTCAGTTTAGACCAGGAAGAGTCAAGGGAGGCCCTCTGAATTAATTTCTAAAAGTCAGGAAAATCTGGGGATTTCTTTGGATCACAATGTCCTTGATAGGATTCTTAGGGCTTTTGAAGAAGCAATAAAGGGTCTGTTGAAGATCACGGGAGGCCCTGTGTCCCCTCTCTCACCTGGTCTAATCATAACAGTGTATGTAGTAGGACAGAGAGAATGACTTCTTAAATTCATGAGCTGCTTGTCCATTCCTAATAAACACCGGGCTCAGATTCTTGGAGACTCACTCATCCTCTCTGAAGTTTATTTCACTCAGGATTCTGCCTAAAGATTATTCATAATTTGAATGACTGCCAAGCACCCATGGGTCTCCACCCCTTCTTAATTTTATAATAATTTTAAGCAAAGGGATTATAGTCTTTGTTTTCCTGGTAATATGATTAACTCAGATTTTAGGAAAAGCTGTTTCCCAATCAAGTAAAGTGACAAAATAATTAATTGAAAACTTTCTCATTCACATTAGTAAAAACATGGTGTTTACCCTTATGCTTACTCTTCTTTTTTTTTTTTTTTCCTTTCAGTTTTTGGGAATAGCATTTCTTGGAATTGGATTGTGGGCATGGAATGAAAAAGTAAGTTGAATTATTGTGAAAATGCATGTATTTTTGTTCAAGGCTGTTTCTTGCATGTCTCCCTTTGTCTTTGACTACCATAAAGTAAAAAGAAGCAGTTGCTTAGTGAAAGAAAATGTTCTTGGAAGATATGTCATATTCCTAAAGATTCTTTGGGTGTCAAAAATGATCACTGCATCAAAATAATGACTAATGGCTGGGGTTTGATCCCAGGACGCATCCTCACTCGGACATGATAATCCCAGGATGCTTCTAAATGTCCTGCACTGTCTGTAATCTTTTCTCCCCTCACTCTTTTAAACGCTTTTGGAAGATGACTTAAATCATAAAAATGATTTTTCAGTCTGCTGTGTGGTATGTTAGGAAGGCAGATATAAATCATGTTTGAATATCAGGCAAACTCTTCATTAATGCCAAAGATCATTAACGGGTAGCCACTGATGGCAAATAATAAGAAATATTCAGAGTCGATGGTCATAAACAGCACAGGGAAGTAAAATTCTAGAAATACAGAGCAGCATATTACAAACTAGTAAGATCCAAGGTTGCGGACATTTCTAAGCAGCACTTACAAGAACCCATGTTCTTGGCTCTCGGATGCCTCTCACTGTACCTTTTAATTTTTTTCTCTGACTTTCCCTGCCGAGATTGACCACTGAAATTCAAAAATGAGTATGAACCCCTTTTTTCTTCCTTGTTTGGAAGTCAAATTGCCTGCAGCATTTTTCTCTCCTGATATTTAGCTATACAGTAAAGCCTTACTGTCTCCCACCTTGTGACAGAGAGAGGTGTTTGGATTGGCTCAAGGTCCTGGTAAGCTAAGGAGTTAGCTTATTCTCCCAGAAGACTGTGCTCTTATCTCTTGGGAATTTGTCTTCTTGAGCCTGGCTGTGCTTGAAAGCAAAGGTTCTTTTGAAGTGATGAATGTACTAAGAACCATTATCAGTAAATAGAAAGACCCAAACTAAGACATCCATCAAACAAAGACCTTCTGATGCCAGTGGGATTTCTGCAAGTAGAGCCTCTTGTCAACAGACCACATAAAGCAAAGCTCCAAGTAAATCCTGAGTTTTTAAAATGTACCATTGCCCAGGAGTGTTACTCAGTGGTAGAGCACTTGCTGGATTCAATTCTGAGCACTGAAAAAGGGAAAAGAAAAGGAGGTGGATCCACGTCCTAAGCTCAGTCCATAAAGTGCTTGGGGTGGGGTGACCACCTCAGTACATAAAGTGCTCGCAACACACCTGTGAGGATCTGGGTTTATCCCCAGCACTCACATAAAAAGTCAGGTGTGGGGGAGCACACTTGTCATCCCAGCACTGGGGAGATAGAGCCAGGAGGATTCCTGGAACTTGTGGCCAGGCAGTCTAGCCAAATCAGTGAGTCTCAGGTCCCAGTGAAAGCCCCTGTCTCCAAACATAAGACAGCTGAGGAATGACACCCAAAGTTGACTTCTGGCCTCCACATACATGTGCACACACATGAGGGCACACTTGCACATGCACCCACACACATGTGAATGAGCATATACACTCACACATGCACATAAAGAAAAGGAAAAGAAAGCTGGTGAGATAACCTAGACACCAAAGGTTCTTGCTGTGAAATCTGATGACCTGAGTTCCATGTTCCATCCCTGGTTCCCACCTGGTGGAAGGAGAGAACTGACAACCAAAAGCTGTCCTCTCACCTTCACATACATGCCTTGGCATGTGCACCCCCCCATATATGCACAGACACACACAAAAAAGTACAAGTGTAAATATACCATACATACATAAATCTATTTAATTTTTAAAGAAAGAATAAGAAAAGAAGAAAAAGGGTACCACCCTTTATATATATATAAAATATTTCTATAATATATAAAGTATTTTATGGGAAAAATGAACCACTGCCTACCACAGAGTAACCTTTTGAGGCAAGTCCTCTATTATATAAAGTAAGATAAATTAAGTGCCCCAAACAGATAACTTTATCTCTGGATCCTTTTCTGTTGAATACCAATCTTCTCTTGGCTTATGGTTAGCTTCTGCTTCATCCCAGTTAAGCCTTGGGATTTGTCGTGGTAGAATCTCGGAAATTCCTCTGTCAGAAGTCCTCTCTTTGGCTAAATGCCAGATAACTCCGCTTTTTCTAACTCCTTTAATAAGAGTCCTTTTTTTTTTTTCTGCTTTGAAAAATATATTGGAGGATATTACCTGAACTGATTCTCTATTCTGACAGTAAACAAGCAGTTGGTCATTTTGAAGGGTTTTTTCACCCCCTTTTTAAGAAATACAATTATGTTTTTATTTCATTGGTTGCCTCAAATATCTCTTTTCTGATGAAACCACAAACTTCTAAAATTGGCACTATCTTCCCAATGTCAAGAGTAGGGGTGGTATCATGTTCAGAAAAGGACGACATAGCAATCCTTTGCCAGGGCCATTGGAAATGGAAAGTTTCTCTTGAGAGCTGAAGTCATGTGACCCAGATCACTCAGTTACTTCCCAGCAGAACTTCATGAGTATGGGCTGGGTAAGACTAGCAGAAAATTAAGGTGTTGGGCCATGCAGCAGCCCAGTCTGGCACATTGCTCCTGTTTCTGGGCCTTGGGCATAGGGCCCCCAGCGGGATGTGACACAAGAGTCCCCGCCTCATACAACTTACATTCTAGTGGAGACACAGGCAGAAAGCAGGTCACTGGTAGGAATTGTATCCAAATACTGGCAAGAAACATCAAGTACAAGCTACTTAGAGAGTGGCAGAAGAAATGTCTTCCTTTCTACAGTTGATTGTTGGTGGTACTGGGGATCGAACTCAGGGCTTTGTGCATGCTAGGCAGCTGCTCTATTACTGAGCTATATCCAGAAGCTGTCACGTTTAGAGCGAGGCACCAGCCTTCCTGAGGATGTGGCATTGGGCCCAGGGACTTTGATGAAGTAAGAGAGATGAATATTCCAGGAATGGGGTGGTAAGGGCCTTGGTGACTCCACTGAATAGCAAAGGTCAGAATAACATGAGACAGATTAAGAAAAGAAGTAGAGGATGTGGCAAGAGAGGCAGGCTGAGGCCAGACTGGGTAGAGTCTGCGAAAGGACAGTATTCTATGCATGAGAAGCCACCTGGAGTTTGATAGAAGCCACTCGATCTGACTTTTATATTTCTTTTAACAGTCCTACAGATTAAACCCCAGCTTTGCATATGTTACGCAAGTACCCTCCCACTGAGTTACATCTCTCACACCCCCACCTGATATTTATTTTGAGACAGTGTCTCACTAAGTTGCCAACCCTGTCCTTGAACTTGTGTAGCCCAGGCTCCTCCTGTATTATCTTCTACCACCACATCTATCCCCGGTCTAACTTTTAAGATTGCCCTGTTTGCGTGTAGAAAAACATGCAATCTCAGACTATGTTTGTGTCCTCTCCTCATCTCCAGCACATGTGGAGGTAAGGCTTTGGCAAGTGAGATAGATCATGAGGGTGGAGCCTTTCTGAATGGGACTGATGCCTCCATCAGAAGAGAGAGGAGAAAGACGAGCCCTTTGTTCATTAGGAGCAGGTATACCCAGGGCAAGGCCCTCATGAGGCACCAACACTATTTATCTTCATTTTGGATTTCCCTGTCATCAGAACTGTGAGAAATAATTATTTGTTGTTTAAGCCCCCCAGGATATGGTATTGGTTGTTGAAGCCAGAACAGACCTGAGTTCAAATTCTCACTCTTCTATTTGCCATCTCAGCCGTGTGACTTTGGACAACTGAGAAACTTCTCTGAGATACCCTTTATTTATGCAGTAGGGACAACTAACATTCCGTGATAGGACCATGTGAGGATTCAATGAGGTCGTCCCCTGCTCTGAGGAAAATGCATACCAGTGTCAACAGAGAATCACAAATCTGATCTAAAGAAATAAGAACATAGTTTATTCTGAGCCAAATATAAATGATCATGGCCAATGGACATAGATTCAGGTTACCCAGAACGACACGTTCCATCATGGGGCAGGGTTACATGAACCTTTATAATCACAGAATAAAAGTCATAAGTCAGTGAAGTTTCCAAATACATCGTTGGGGTCATCAGGTCAGGCAGACTACTGCAGACTGTGGAAATCTCTGATACAGGATTCAAGATGTTCTCTTACAGCATTCTTAAATTTAGGGTTGGTGGAGGCTGAAGGTCTGCTAAGTTTTATGGTATATTCAGTGGGCTTTTGCTAGGTCACTAGGATGTTAGGTCAAATACAGAGTCTAAAGAAAATTTTGGCTCTCATCTGCAACATTCCATCTCTTTACAATCAACCTTCTGGTCTGCCCAGGTCCACCTGTCTGCAGGCTCCTCATTTTGGATGGGCTTCTTAGGGACATTTGGTCCCCTGGGGAAATGGCTCCCTCCTCTAGGTAGTGACTATAGCACATGCACTTCTACATGGAGCCAAGAGAAGGAAGGGGGTTTGGAAGCTTCCTCAGATTTTAGAAGAGTGTCATGCTCTGACACATAGACTAGCAGAAAGGTTTTATTTTGGGGTGTCTTAAGATGTGGACTGATCACCTTCATAATTGCAGAGGCCTCTCTGTTCAAGACTTTTGATGTCACTGGGACAGGTCTTGGAGGAACGATGTTTCAGTGTGAGCCCTAGTCAGGTTGAAGGTAGATGGCACCTTGCATGCACCCTGTGAGCTAAGACCAGCCCAAGTCAGTAAACTCTCCAGACAAGATGTGGAGACACATACTTTGAAGAAGGATGGAAGGACAAATCTTTGAACTTAGAGCTGGAACGATCATATTTCTACAGCAGGCATCAGATTTCCTTAATACAGGAAACTTTAAACATACTTACGTGGAATACAGAAACAGCAGAGGCAGACATTATTGCCTTTCATGCTTAATATCGATCAGAGTTAATATTGCAGTTAAATATTAGAAATAATTAGTAAATAATTTTATCCAAATTTCAAGTTGACCTTGAAGATGCAACTGATGGTATGTCTCCAGAGAAAGCTGGTTTACAT